TGGCCAGTGGCTGTGCCTGCAGATGGGGATGGCGGGCGGGCAGCCACCAGCCCGTCCCCTGTCTCCTTCTCTGCCTCCCAGGCACCACGGCAGCTTCTGGAGGGTCCTGAACGCCTGCTTACCCCTGCGCTGGCACGTGCCCATGCTGCTCGTCTGCGGCTCAGCCTACGTGGCTCTTCTCAATGAAGACAGGCAGGCGCTCGGCCTCCACCTCGTCCTGGCCAGCCTGTGCCAGCTCCTCGTCCTCGCTCTGGGGCTCCACGTAAGGCACCAGCACCTCTCAGCGGGCCGGGCATGCCGGGGAGCGCAGCAGCAGCCCCTAGCAGCCGTGGGGGCACGTGGCCAGGCTCTGTGCAGCCCCTGCATGTATGGCCTGCCCATGCACAGCCCCACAGAGGGAGAGATGCTCTCATTAGCTCAGCATGAAGAGCTGATCTCCTCACTTCGTGCTGCTGCGCGTGCCAGCACGAGGGCTGTGCTGCCTTTTAATGAGTGCAGCCACCCCGAGGCACTGGCAGGACGCCCAGAGCCCTGCTGACACACAAAACGGGTATTTTTAAATCTGTCAGTCAAGCTGCTGCTTGAGGGGAAAGGGTTGTCTGTGTGGTCTCCAAAGGGTTAATTATGAGGCATGCTGTGGGCAGCAGAGCCCCGCTCCAGGTACCTCTGTGGCACTGGGAGGGCTCAGCTCTACCCCAGCAGAGCTGGAAGGGGAGCGGGGTCACACAGGCTACAGAAGGGCTTTGGGGAGGGCAGCCGTCGGGTGCCTGTGGGGACTGAACACCCCGTTCCACCCAAATGAACACACAGAGCTGGCACGGGCCACCGGTGGCCCTGGAAATCCCACCATCAGGCGCTGGGATGTCTCCTCCTGCATGCTGGAAGCACTTGGCAGATGCACAGGTTGCACTGGGACACATGACCCCAACGGAGGGTGCAGCCAGAAAAGTGCCCGGCTCACCCCAGCATCAGCTTCCTCATCTGCAGGGGCTGCACAAGCCATCGAGGGCTCTTGGCCCCGCTGCCCGGCGTGGCTGTGGAAGGGGGCAGCGGGGTTCCTCGCTCTCCAGATCTCTCTGGAGAGGGCAGCTGCTCTCCAATCCCCATAGAGAGCCGACTGTTGCAGAAGAGCCTGGCTGTTGCTTCCATCACTACTGTTCTCTCTTTCCTTCTCTCCACAGAAGCCCTCAGCAGTGGAAATGTCTGAGATGTCCGAGAGGTCCAAGCAGAATGTCGCTCATGGGCTTGCCTGGTCTTATTATGTTGGGTACCTAAAAATAGTCCTGCCACGTACGTAGCTGTTTCCCTGCGTGATCATGCCTACAGATAGAAATAGCTCCTAATAACAATCCTCCCACATTTACAGTGTTAGCAGGGAAACAGGGAGCAAGGTAGAAAGCAGCTGGACTCACGCCAGGCACCTCTGCCCGATGCTCTCTTCCACCAGGGGTGAAAAAGTCGATGGAGGAATTCAGCAGAGCCAACCCCAACGTGCTGGCATGCAGGGAGACCTGGAAGCTCCACATCTTGGTCCCTCTGAGCTGTGACTTCTATGATGACCTGGAGAAAGCTGACAGCAATATCCAGTACCTGATGGACCTCGCTGAAACCACCATGACCCGAGCTGGCACCAAAAAAAGGGTCTACAAACACAGCCTCTACACAATCAGGGATAAAGACAACAAGGTATACTGCGGGCAGCATCGGGAGAGCAGGCAGGACGCATCAGCCTAAGGGTCTTCCTGGCCTCAGATCCCAGCCTAGAATTGGCTACAAGGGCAGGACAGCAATCCCTCTCCTATTAGATGCTCCAAGCTGTCAGCAGGCTTCTGTGAGTTCGAGAGGTCCTATCCCTGCCGGCCACCTGCACCCCTTCCTCCTGGCTGCCTCCTCCCAGGCTCAGCCCTTGCAGGGATGTTGGGCTCACTTAACCCCTCCTGGAGTTGATTTAAGTCTGGAAAACAGCAGAAAACTGAACAGAAAAAAAAAGCAGCTGTGGGGTCCACAGCGTGATTTCCCATGGGATGAATGAATATTTCCTTCTGTTGTGAAGAGGTGCTTGAAAATGTCCATGTGAGTCATGATATAATTTGACTCTCTCCCGATCCCCAGTCACCTCTTTTCTGGGCTGACGAGCCCTAAATCCCTCCGTCTCAGATTGCATTCATCTCCTTCCACATCTCCAGGCACACGGACCCCTGCCCCTGCACCCTTGGGGGAGGGAAAACCCGGGTCCTGCTGACACAGCTGCGATGGAGGCAGAGCAATGCTCTCACCAGGGTCCCCCTAATTTGCCTTTTGATGGTGGCTGAACGCTGAGCTGCTGCTCTTAAAGCCCTGCCTGCAGGGACGCCAGAGCCTCCTTCCTGGCCCTGCTCCTGGGGAAGTACAGTCAGTGGCGGGTTTTCCCTGATGAAATGCAGGCGCTGATGCTGTGTTCCATCTGCCAGTCTCCTGCTGAGTCACTCAGCACCAGCTCTGCAGCCTGGGCCATCCTGACCCACTGCGTGTTGTCAGTAGAACCTGTCCCTCCGCTTGCTGCCCAGGCACTGGGGGACGCGTGCACGGCAGCAATACCAGCTCCCACCCTCAGCACCTGCTCTGGTTCCCTGGGGCGACTGCATTTAACCAGGGATCCCTTCGCTTTTCCTTCTAGTACACTTTATTCAACTTTCCTGTCTCCCTGGTATAAGGCTTTCCAGTAACCCTGCTCCTCCTTGGAATTTTTATGGCCTTAACGAATCTCTCCTCGTTTGTTTGATCAGCCTCCTTCTAGCTGTGCATTCACCTCGCCAGCGTTTATCCTCTTCTCCATCCTCCTGCTCTCCATCAGGATGCTCAGACATCTTCTCTGGCAGAACAGCCACCAGGAAGGTGTGATCAGACACCGACAAGGGCTGTCTCCATGGGCAAAATCACTCCCCAGGCTGCAGCTCTGCCAAAGCCGGTGGCTGTGCCCCGGGGCGCTGCAGGAGGCAGGCAGCTCCCGGAGCCCACTCGGCACACGGGGCACGGCGGTACCTGCATCCTGCCCGGACAGTGGATCCTTCCCTGCTCCACATGGCACAGAGGGACACAAGGGCCACCACCAGTGTCCCTGTCATAGAATGTTAGAATCACAGAATGGTTTGGGTTGGAAAGGACCTTAGAGACCATCCAGCGCCACCCCCTGCCATGGGCAGGGACACCACCCACTAGCCCAGGTTGCTCAAAGCCTCATCCAGCCTGGCCTTGAACCCCTCCAGGGATGGGGCATCCACAGCTTCTCTGGGCAACCTGGGCCACTGCCTCACCACCCGCACAGGAAAAAGCTTCCTCCTGATATCCCATCTAAATCTCCCCTCTTTCAGCTTAAAGCTGTTCCCCTCGTGCTGTCGCTGCACCCCCTGACAGAGGGTGCCTCCCCGTCACCTGTCCTGGTGGGCCAGCACACAGCACCAGTGCAGGACAGGCCACAGAGCCGCCGAGGGGTCTCGAGGGCTGTGCCCAGCACCAGGGTCCCCCAGCAGCCCTTTGCTGGGTGCTCAGTCCTCCTGCCCCTGTGTCTTTTTCTTCTGTCCCTGCAGCTCTGGCACTGCGCGGTGGAGTACGCCACCCCGCTGCAGTCCCTCTACGCCATGTCCCAGGATGAATGTGCTGCCTTCAGCCGGGAGGAGCGCCTGGACCAGGCCAAGCTTTTCTACAGGACCTTGGAGGAGATCCTGAGAGGCTCCAAGGAGTGCGCGGGTACCTACCGGCTCATCGCCTACGAGGGTGAGTGAGGAGGGGAAGAGGACGGGGGTGCCCAGCACAGTGGCTGTGCTCCCCAGCCCCTCGAGCGACCTTGGATCAGGGTGAAGGAGGGCAGGCTGGCAGGATCTGTGCAGCGCTTGGCTGATATCCCCACTCGCACGGGCACGGGGGTCCCTGTGGCAGGGCGGACAGCGATCCTCCTGAGCGGGGAAGGATGGTGGCAGATCTGGTCCCTGCTGAAGTCCCCAAAGGCCCCTGAGACAAGCAGTCTTCTGCTGGGCAGCAAGAAAGCTCCCTCAAGGATTAAATACAACAGCAGACTTCCAGGAGAAGGAGCTTCACTGCTGATTCTCCTGGGAGAGGCTGGGGCTGTCAAGCCCCCCCAGCACTGGGACAGGCACTGGTGTATGCACTGGACCAGTGGTTCCTCCTAGCAGGGGATGGAAAGGAGTGAGGCCTTCCCTTCTTCCTTTCATTTCCCTTCTCCTCACCTACAGCAGAGCAGCAGGGCTTGAAAACAGCTCGCTGCTTCTTGCTGAAATGAATCTCGTTGATTTTCAGAGGAAATTCAGTGCTCTCCCTGATGGAGAGAAGCATTTCTATCCAGCGAGGCAGTTCCCGTCACAATAAGCACTGCTGGGCATCCAGCACGTGGTGCCTGCATTTTACTCTCCTTCCTGCACTCTATGTTTTATTTGCTTTCTTCTGGTGTGCAGAAAGGAAGAAGAACTGTAGTTTGACTTCTCAGGAAATTCTGCATATTTTGGGGCATCTCCCAGACTCCGCTCCCTGCCCAGACCAGGTGAGTTTTGTCTTATTTCTGTTCCAGAGCCAGGAGAAGCAGAGACCCACTTCTTGTCCAGAGAGATCCTCTGGCACCTGCGGCAGCAGCAGGAGGAGTACGCCCTGTCCGAGGGGAACCAGCCCCACACCCCGTCCACGACCCTCCACTCCACAGAGCTCGATCTCCAGATCAGTGAGTCAGACCTGCCGCAGCCTCTGCGAAGCGACTGCTTCTAAAGCACCGGCACTGCCCAGCCCCACACCACTGCCTTGGGGCTCCCAGTTCCCCTTCCCCGAGCCCCTTCCTCTTGCATCAAGTGCTGCCCATGGCAGCGACCCCCAACCTCCTCCCGGAACTGCCTACCAAAACCTCCTGTGCATCATGTTTACTGGAAACTGCTGACTCAAACCACAGTCCTGTGACACGCTTCCCCTTTTCCTTGCTATGTATATCTCATATATTAATCCGTGGGTCGCTGGGTTTCTAATGTGCTTTGATTCATATCATACAAAGCGTTTTCCTCCAGAGCAAGTTGCATTATCCTGAATCTTGAGTGCAATGTGCAGTCTGCCCTTGGACATCCTGTGGTGTTGGATGGGGCTTTGGAAGCCCCAGCCACGAGTGCGTTCATGTGTGCTGGGTCCAACACGGCCAGCCGGCGTCTCCTGGCTGATCCAATGGCTTCTGCAGGCACAAGGAGTGCACAGGACTTCCAGCCTGATGGACCCGCTGTGCACAAACGTCCTCACTTTCCACCCACTCGGGATGCGGAGGTGGAAGAAGAGGAGGTCAGGCCTGAGGAACTCTGGTATCTGGTGGTCCCACAGTTCAGGAAACCTCCTTGCCTTTGCTCCATCCAGGAATTTTGTGCTGAGAGCCATCTGTGGTGCCTGCTGATGCCCTTCGTGCCCACGCTCCTCCCATGCCCTCCACAGAAGTGTTTCTCCAGCCACAAAGGTTGTACCAGACCTCCTGGAGCCCTGGGAAAGGGGCAGGATGCAGTCCTGGGACAACTTGCATGGGGTTTTTGGTGCAAGACATCACCTGTTGGGCTGTTCAGCCCTCCGTGCCTGGGGGTGAGGTACCCCCGACGAGCCCAGCAAGCTGAGCCCTCCCTACCCGCCCCATGTCGTCAGGCAGAAGCAGAGCAGAGGACTTGCAGCAGCTCTGCTCAGTGTGGCTCCGAGACAGATGATTTCTTGGCTCTGCCCATCTAGATGCTCCTCCAGGATCTGCCTGGACCTAGGCTGAAAAAAGGGACTGCACCCGAGCCAGCCCCAGTGCCAGGGCACCCCACATAAGGCCACACTTGCTGGAGAGACCCAGCTTGTGCGGGACGGAGCCTACTCCCAAGGGACTGCCAGGGCCAAGCAAGCAGCTGAGAAATAGAATCACAGAATCACAGAATGGTTTGGGTTGGAAGGGACCTTAGAGATCATCCAGTTCCACCCCCCTGCCATGGGCAGGGACACCTCCCACCAGCCCAGGCTGCTCAAAGCCTCATCCAGCCTGGCCTTGAACCCCTCCAGGGATGGGGCATCCACAGCTTCTCTGGGCAACCTGGGCCACTGCCTCACCACCCGCACAGGAAAAAATTCCTTCCTAATATCTCATCTAAATTTCCCATCTTTCAGGTTATAACCATTCCCCCTCATCCTATCACTACACTCCCTGATAAAGAGAAATAGAGTCCCCATGCTGGGCTGCTGGCAGGAGCCTTCCCAGCTGGGAAGGGCAAAATCCCAAAGGTGCCCTGCATGACCTGGGCCGGCCATGGGGCAGTGAACCCAGCTGGTCCCCTGGGCAGCCAAGCGCGAGAGATGCAGCATGGCCAGAGCTGTGTGCCTGGCCTCAGGGCTTGTTGCTTGCCAGAGACCATGGTGGAGCTTTGCTGTGGCCACAGAGCAGGGGCCAGAGCTGTGTGCCCACTGCTCCATGCCTCAGTTTCCTTTTTTGCCAAGAGCTGAAGGAGGATCTAGCCAGCCAGGTCTGCCCTGGGAGGAAAGGCGGGCAGGAGGCAGCTCAGTTGGCTTGTTACCCTCTGATGTTGCAGCATCCCTAGGGGGATGGGATCCCTTTGGTCCATCCCAGCTCCCAGGACTTTGGCAGAAGGACGAGGTCCCTTGAGAGGCCCCAGGTGCTTGCCTTCAGCCTGAACTTCCAGCACAAGGGCCCAGACACAGCCGTGACCATCCTCTGGGCCAGCCATGGAGACCCTGAGGGGACAGCAGAGTCCACAGGCCCAGAGGAGGTGACCTCGCCACATGGCTGAGGATGGTGACAAGAGCGCTGTGCCTGGCTCCCTCCTGGCCCCACTCACAGCTCCCAGCGTGGCTTTGCCTGCAGCCAGACACACAAGAGCACCCTAGGGAATGCTCCTGACTCTCTTTGTGGGCACTGGTGGATCTCCAGCTAAGCCAGCTTCCCTGCCACTATTGTTCCCATGTAGTTAGTGTCCCTCAAGTTCTGTCTGGACCTGTTGGCCAACGGTCTGTCTGGTGCCAGGTGTGGGATCTCTCTAAGTGCAGCTCAGGATCTGTGCTGGGACCATCACTGCCCATCCTCACCATGTCCTTGCCACATGGCTCCTGCCAGCAGCACCCAGCAAGCTGCTCCTTCCAAGGAGCCCAGCTTCCACTGGTCTGAGCACGCACTGCCTGTGCAAGGGCCGCGATGCACTGCAAAGGTAACAAAACCTGCCAAGAGAACAGAGCCAACCACGGACATTGGGATCACGGTAGGGCACTGGGTTTCTTTCCCAGGCCAAGGTGAAAGTGTCTGTGGCTGAGCAGGCTCACCCAGCAGGGAGAGATGCTGATGGGAAGGGCTGAGTGGGCACAGGCTGGGGCCGAGCCCACACCCCCACTTCCTGCCCTTGGGTGCCTGGCTCCTTTTTTACCCTGATACCTATCTGTGCTTGCAGCTCCCATCCCAAAAATGCTGAATGTGCTTTCCTCTGCCCATGGCTTCCAAGGGAATGGTCATGCTTGAACACTCTTGGACGACTTGCATGTACTTGAGCTGGGAAAAACCACGGGCCGACGCTTCACTCTTCATCAGGAAGACATGTGCCCCAGGCAGGCTCCCAGCCTGGCCAGCAGCGGTGCCCGAGCAGCAATCCTGAGAGAAACCAAAAATCTGGACATTTGTGTCATCACTTCTTCATGTATGTGGTACAACAGCTTTGGTGCTGGTGGGGGGCTGTGTGCATGGGGCTTCCAGCAGGTGAGAGGGAGCTCTACTGGGCAACCTGGCACAACAGCAGATGCTGCTGGGAGCCTGGTTTAAGAGCAGCCTGACTGCACTGCCTCCAAGGGCAGCGCAAAGCTCTCTGACATGACAGGGCTTCTTCAGCCTGGTTTGCTCCTCAAAGAGCTCCTTGGGCTCATCTCAGCAGCAGAGCCACAGCACCGAGGTTTCTCCTCGGAGTGGCAGGAGAAGAACCTGGATGTACTATTTTGAACAGCGGGATGGAAGCCTGGATTACTGCAATTTCTGTTGGGAAGAAGGCAGCCTGGAAAACCCTCACCCTGCAGTCAGCCACTGCCAGCCACCGCGGCTCAGCCATGTGCAGCCTGCAGAACCAAGCGCTTCACAGCTGCCCGAGGAGCCCCAGCAGCACTGTCAAGCCCAGGGGGCAAACTGAGGCACAGAGAGCCTATAGCCCAGCTCCTTAACCATCTTTCGAAGCCTCTGGGATTCAAAAGGGCCCTGGGACCTGCCCAGGCTGCTGAACAATAGGCAGCCCAAGGCCAGTGAGCACCTTGAGGGTGCAGTGCTGGTGTGGCAAGGCTCCAGGGACACCTGCAAGCCCTGTGAGCCCTGCAGGACAGCACTTGCTAACCCTCGCAGGCTGGTACCACTCTCCTGGCCTGGAAGCATGCTCTGTGCTGAGACCTTTCACCCTCCGTGCAACCCCAAGTAAAGAGGGATCAGCTACAGCTTATTCCTCTCTCATTTAAAGCCACTCATGAAACAGCTCATTTCTTCTCGAGCTTTCTTTCCACTGATAAACCTGGTCTTACCTGGCAGCTGCCTTGGAGCAGAGCAGCCCAGGTGAATATCAGGCCTCCATCTTTCACACACTTGGGAGAACACGGTGGGAGATGCCTCTCCCCACCTCCACCCCGGCGAGCTTACAGAGGAGGTCTGGCTGCACGCTGATCCCTCTGGGGCTGGAAAGTGGAATCCATGTCTGGGTTCAATAAAACTTTAATTGGCAGCCTAATCTCTGGGTACTGCATCTGTGCAAAAGACAAAAATGACAGATGTTAAAGGGAGGGTTTGTGAAAGCAAAGGCCACTGCAAAGAGCCAGCTCCTCTTGGCCTGCTGGTTTGCAGAGGTGTTGGGGATCTCTGCTGAGGCCTCCAGGATGTTCTGAGTGCCTGGTGCTGTGCTGGCCAGAGCAGGAGCAGGGAGAGCTATGCTGCTGCAGGCGAGAGACCCCCAGCCTGCGGCTGGAGACCCACACACCTGGGTGCAGGGAGCAGAGTGCTGCACCCAAGAGGTCTGGCCCTGGGGTGTGGGCAGGTGGATGTGGGTCCTGATCACCCACCTCCTCTTCCGGAGCAGCGTTCCCAAGGGCACAGAGCAAACACTGGGCACCTGCTGAAATCAGGGCTGAGCTCAGCAACACGGGCACAGACAGAAGCAGCTGCATGAGCAGCAAAGCCAGTGCCGCTGCAGACCCTGAGGGTTTACACCTTCAAATCCCGTGGGGATCCTCACGGGGCATGAGCATGGTCTCCTGACTCCCTGCTCCCCTCCCATATGGGCACTTCTTATCTGGCCCATCGCTGCCTTCGGTCAGGTTGGGCTGAAGGCGGCCGATTAGCTCAGCCCATATTAGCAGGGGAGAGGCAGAAAGACAGCCACCAGCCCTGAGGAAACCCGACAGAGCAACCTTGTTCCAGCAGAAACTGTGCTGCCAGCCAAAGGCTCAGCTCCTGCCACTGCTCAAGGGCAAAGCCAGGGCCAAGCGAACAGGAAGGTGAAAGCCTTTGCTAGCAGAGTGAATCACAGGCAGGAAGATCAAACCTCAGAAGAAGTGGAAGCTTGCTGCCCAAGCTGGCAAACAGAGGATAACCAGGTTCCCCTCAAGCTCCCTAACAGCAAAATCAGCTGAGTTTCTGCACTAATTGCAGCGTTCCCCACCAGACCTGACTCAGGACTCCGCAGTTTATGGCATGGTTGAAGGTGCCGCAGGGTGTCGGCAGCACAGACACAGCCTGGCGC